AGCTAAATAAATTAACTAATGATTCATTTAACTAAAAAATAAATATTTTCCGTTTTTTATTTTTCAAATATTTTCAACACAGAATTATTTAAAAAAAAATTAATGAATTATTCAAATTAAAAATAAATATTTAATTGGAAAATTAACGACCGGAAGTTGAAAAAATTAAAAAAATATTGAAATAAAAATAGATTCAAGTTAGTGATATACATAATTTGCTGGATTAAAACAATTTTTGTGAAAATATTAGAAAATTAGATTAATTTTAAAAGGTGAATTTAAATCTTAACTAGAGAAAAGCAGAGCCGGGCTATAGTTATTTCTCCTTCTGATAATACAAAACGTTATTAGCCCCACCTCAACGATAGCCTCAGGAATTAAATATATGCTTTGCACTAGCAAAAGACAAATATAATTTGTTTTAATTATTAAAGATGGTTCGGTTTAACCAAAACTCGGACATTTTCAATCTGAAATCCCAATTCATGACTCGAAAAATTTCCTAAATCCTAAACAAAACCCCGCCATTCTCCACAAATTTTTTTCATTAAAAGAATAAATCTAGCTTCTTTGATTTTAAAAATTCTCAGAAATTTTTGTTATGAAGAAGGAAAAATTTTGTGTTGATAAGTTTGTGAGATATGTATGTTGTCGACACCAATCTTGACCAATTACATATTTCTTCAATAAATTAATCAAGGATAGCCGAACCCGAAGCTATACCCAGACAAATCCCGGTCAACGACCCGCCTTGATCCCGAAGGGTCGGGTGCTACCCAAGACTAACCATCAATTTTGAAAATGCATTGAGTTACATATATCCTACAAATATTTAAAATGTTCAATTGTCTAAATCGTTATTTTAAAAATATATTAATCCTTTCGTAATTCATCAAAAATATTCATATTACTCACATTCTTGATTACTCATTAAATTATGAAACAATTAAAAATAAAATTTCATCAAAAATTTTAAGCCACCTCATCAATTTATTTTATAAATAAATATAAAAATAAATAATTTCAACATCTGTTTAAACAATTAAAAATAATATGTATATGGATATTCATCGTAAAATAAAATAAAAGGAAAATTAATAAATAGGCATATTGAATTATTATTGTTCCTTAAAATAAATATTTATTATATTTTGCCTAAAAATTTTTTAAAATCCTCCTCTCAGCTCTCCACTAAAAATTATTTTGTCCTCAAAAATAATTAAATAATGACTCTATTAATTTTAATTATTTTTTTATTTAATTTTTATTTGCTTTCGCTTGAACAGCAACAACAAAGACAAGTTACTAACAAATATGTTTATGTTTGTGGACAATATCCAAACAAATATCTCTCCTATGCACGTAATTAAAAATATTTTCTCAAAATTAATAAAATCTGTTAAATTATCTTTATCATTCAAATTTTACAATTTTTTTCTAATAAAAACATTTTGTAGAACAATTTTTTGAACAAAGAAACTAGAAAAAATTAACTCTATTAATTATTATTAGAGCCGTTGATTCGATTTCGACTGAATTTTTCGATTAATTGACCGCGACCTCTAAGATCGGCTCTAATTAGTATTATGTATTCCTTTTGGATTTATGGGTTTGACAAACCTAAGTTGTTCCCTGATATGTTTTGGAAATGACTGTTAATTTTGGGAACAATTTATAACCGATTTCTATTAGAAATATTTTTATTTCCAATTTATAAAGCCTGCCCCGAGGATGGACAGAAACAACAAATATGTTCACAACCAGGCTGGATACTAATGAATATAAAATGTAGACAAGATTCCGACTGTCAACGGATTCAAAATGTTGGTATGTTGAATATTTTACTTTTAAAAATTTTTTAAAATTAATTCAGCCAAATGTGACAGAGGTGAATGTTGTGCACCTCCTTCTTCTGGTAGCGGGGGTACAAATAAGGTAAAAGAGAGTTGTATAATAATTTTACTAAAATAGCCCCCGGGGAACTCGTCAGTGACAATCGGTCTGTGGCCAGATAAAACTTCAGTGGATAATCTCTAACTGAAGTATATCGAAGGATTATTGGATATAAAGGGTAATTTGAAGGGATTGAGAGGGATATCGAATAATTCTCTTAACAAAATTTTTAAAGTTTTCTATAATAAAAGGCTTGAGCAGTGATTTCTCGATTCCAAAAAATGAACGGTCTCGTATTTCCGTTCACATTTTTTATAAAATTTTGCCTCTTCATCACTTCCTGTTCCCGAAACCGAGAAAGCAATGGACCTAGGCTTCGTTTTATAAGCAAGACTAAATTCTCTTTATAAAAATTTTATTTAAAGGGAAACGACGTTCCTTATATTAAATGGGAAATGTGTGAAAATGGAGGGTATTTTACCGGCAGAAAATGTAGAGACACAAATGATTGTCTTAATAATCAACCAAATATACAACAAATTTGTTTGAATAATGAATGTTGTACTACTGGAGGAATTGGGGGTGGTGGGGGAGGGAATGTGAATCCAGCAGAGGACAAGTATATTTTAAATTTTGATTGAACATGTAAAATTAAAATAAGGAGAAAGTGATGAGCAAAACTCCCTTATGCGGCGGAACTTACAAAGAAAGGATTAAAGGGAAATAGACCTTAATTTTATAGAAATGTGTGAAAAAATCAAGCGGGAGAGGGAGATATTATTTCCTCAAAAATATCATTTTATTTTTCCTTCTTTGAGGGATGACTTTCGCTGTATTAAAAAGAGACTACCCTGGTTTCATAAAGCTAATCCTATCTTACTCATTCATACCTCCATTTTTTGATCCCAAAATGAATTTTTAACAAAAAGATGTTTGAGAAATGGAGGCCGTCGTCTTCGAGACAATGTTGGAGGTTGTATAAGGCATTCAGATTGTAATTCACTAGTTGGAAGACTTCCAGAACTCGCACAAATCGGAGATAACCAACAAATTTTGTGCCAACAAAAAAGTTGTTGTTTAATGCCCAGAACTTTGCCTATTGGCTTTACTGATTGGGCACAGGCATTTTTTCAAGCAAAGTCAAATTTTTTTCCTAATTTACTAGGCTTGCCCCCAAAGTGGCGGCCGTTTTATAGGCCTTTTTTGTGAAATGGATCATCATGATTGTCAAACAACAACAGACAAAATTAGTCGAATTCCGCAACGAGCAATTTGCGAGTTGCGGAGGTTGGTTAACAAAATTTGATTATTAGCCAATTCTAACGCTTATTAGGTATTGTTGTGCACCAAGTGACAAAACAATAGATCGTCAAAGAAGAAACAATCTTGGGTGTAACATGGGCGACTTCCCTACTGGCAGTCGATGTGACCCCCAACGACCAAAATGCTTCGCGGGAGAATATTGTGGCAATCAAGCAATTTGCTGCTTAAGGAGCAGTTACGACAGAAGACGCCCTCCAAGTCCATACTCTTCAGATGACTATCCAGATTATTCTGTCGGAAATCAAAGACCGCCTGGTAGAATAAATAAAAATATTTTTAATCATTTCTTAAGCTTTTTGCTATAATGGTCAACAATCTATAGTTCATTGTACTTCTAGTGAAGATTGTAAACAATTAACTCAGGCATGTGTTAATGGCCTTTGCTGTACTCGAACAGGAGATGAGTGGAAAAGTAAGAAGTTTTGGAGATATTTTAAGAGGGTTAATTCGAAAGATTCCCTTGAAAATGAGTATATTTAGTTCAACTCATACTTGTTGTGAGAAGTTGAAAATTGAGACGTCGAGAGACGTTGAGAGACGACGACGACGACCGGAGACATCGATGACAACACTTTTGACTTCGAAGTCACTTTAATGACGTCACTTTTGACGAAGTCACTTTTGACGACGAGACATTTGACGTCGACGGCAGGTAAGACGAGGCGTCAATTTTGACGACATCATTTTGACGAAGACGTTTCACGACACTTTTGACGACAACGTCACTTTTGCCTACAAATTAGAAGACGACTCCACATTTATGACGACAACTTACTTCTGTCGACAATTCACTTTTAATGACGAAGACATCTTTGACGACCTGTCACTTTCGACTACGTCACCTTGATGTGATCCCAATCACTCTGAACAAACCACACGTCCAAATTTCTCGAGCTTAATATTTTGTTTTCCATGTAGGGTCAAGATCCCAGCAGAATCTAAAATTCCAAAAACTTGGAAAAACTTCGAGCTCAAATTTCCAGAGCCCATATTTCCGGAAAAAAATTTAAATTCAAATTTAATTGTAGATTCTTGTGGGGGTGCAATGGCTGTTTCAATTTGTTTTGAGGATGGTTCCTGCCCGGATAGACTAGTTCGTACTTCCTCAGATTATTGTTGTGAATGTCCATATGGACAGGCTGCAGGAAAATGTGCTCATGTTAATAAAATTTTAAGAAAAATTTCAAAAAAATAAAATTAAAGGGGTGTCCTCCCAACTATTCATGTGATTATGGTGGAGAATATTGTTGCCCTAAATGTCCACAGGGGGATAGACCTTATGGCTCTTGCTTTAACGGTGAATGTGCTACAGGATATATTTGCTCTGCAGGAAATATTTGTTGTAACAGAAAATAATTGTAAAATTTTTAGCTAGTTTTTTTGTTAGTCTGATTTTAGTGTTTTTAATTGTTGAATTTTCCAAAATTATTTTTGATTAATTTTTGATTACTCTTTTTTTGTTGAATATACATATGTATGTACATATTTCACAAAAAGCGCCCGAAAATAAATTTTAAAATAAAGCGAAAATGAATTGTCAGAAATCGAAATTTCGACCCACCGTACTTCTTACAAATTTGTCATAAAATAAGGTTCTCGTTTCTAATTTCGCAGCAGGGCCGAGTAAATTTTCGGGAAAGAAAATGATTAATCTTAATTAACCCTATATTTTTGAGTCTAAAAATCTGCCAAAATCAAAGTTATTATTCCAAATCTTTTATTTTCATTAAATAATATGTAATAAAAATTTTTTATTGTGTAAAATTTAATAAACGAAATAATTATTATTCTGAATAGCTTCCACTAGATTGAGGGCTAGCTGCTGCTGGTGGCCTAAAATATTATTAAAAAATTGACATTAAACAAATGAGCTTTATTAGAATTTTACTTTTCACTTGCAGCCTCCGCTGCAACATAAGGTTTAACAGAGGGTGAAGCTGCTGCTGGTTGTTCACCTTCATATTTACTGCCAGGAACTGTTGTTTCGACTTTCTAAAACAACAATTATTAAGATAACACAAAAAGGATTTACAGAGATTTGTTCCATGGGAGCATAGTCAGTCAATGCATGGTGTGACCCACCAGTTCTTCCACCCGGTGAAACCTCGCCTGTTCTTGGAGGGCATGGGCAATATTCGGCTTAAAATAAGGAGAGATACTAAATTTTAATAGAATTCAGTTTACCATCAGATCCGGGAACACCTTGCCCTCCTGCTCGACCAGGCTGTCCTGGTGGGCCAGGAACTCCAGGTCCTCCTGCTCGGCCAGGTTGACCAGCTGGACCAGGAGTGCCTGCGGGAGGAGATCTGTGAAAACAATTTTTGTAATTCTTTACTTCCAGATTGCATCTTTAAACATACGCTCCAGGCGATCCAAGTTGACCAGGAGAGCCTGGTGGTCCAGCAGGTCCTTTATGTCCAGGCTTTCCTTGTCCACGCATTCCAGGTTTTCCGGGCGCTCCAGCTTCGCCAGGTTGACCGGGACCTCCAGCCGGTCCTTGATCCCCTGCTGGGCCTGGTGGGCCAAAGCCGCCATTTTGTCCCATTCTTCCAGGCATTCCAGGCTGAATTGTATGTAAAATTATTCTATTTTTAAATTCTAATCGTCCATTTTTAATTAAAATTATCCAAAAATTTAACCATTCCTGAAGAGCCAGGAGGCCCCATAGTTCCAACAGGACCAGGCAGGCCAGGTGCACCAGCTGGGCACTTAACACAGCCATTTTGTGTAGGATGAGAGGCTTCAACTGGCACACTATTAATTCCTGGCTTTCCATCTTGACCATTTACCCCATCCTCCCCAGGAATACCAGGCTGGCCTTTTTGACCTTGAGGGCCTGCCGGACAATTATTTGGTTGTTTTCCACAATTACATTGACCTTAATAAATTTTTAAAGTCAATTTATTCATCAGAAGCTTGCCTTTTTGTTCAGACGGTTTTTGTGGTTGTTGCTCATATTGGCGCCGAAATCTCTGTTTAAAATTCTCTGTTTTAAAATATTATGATCGTTTGACTCCTCAATTAATTTATTCCAAGCATCATTAGCAATTCCATTAAAGTCTTCCAAATCATTATGAATTTCAGAATAAAACGAATTTAAATCATTAAATAAAGAGATTATGACAAAAATTGAAGTAATTGTTATTATGGCACACAATGAAATTGTTGAGGAGATGAACACCTTTTCTGAACCGTTTTTAGAAATTATAGACATTGAAGTAAAATATTTATGATTTTCTTAATTCTAAGAAAATTTTAAAAATTAAATTAACTATGTAGATTTAGAAAATTAATTTTCTAATAAAAATATGACTTTCGAGAAAAAAATATTTATACAAGAAAGAGCATCAAAGATTCAGAAAAATCTAATAAAAGTTGCCTGAAAGACTAAAACCAGCTGCCCTTCTATTTTAGTTATAACCAGCTGCTTTTTTTAGAATTAAATATGCCAGTTTTTACTATTAATTTTTATTCAATATATAGAATATAACAATGAAAAATGAACCTAAAATAAATCAATCTTAGTAGAAATTTCCTATATAGTAATTATATCAATTTAGTATTAGATTTGCCAATCTAAATACGTTTAAGTTAAAATTACGTACATTCGAAAATTAAGCACTACCACTTCTGTATTTTTTTGTACTTCATGACCCGACCCAAAAAATGTCGAGAATTCTCGACACTGAAATTCCCTAACTTTCAGAAAAAGATTCACAAACCGGAAATCGAGTTAGCTTGATCTATTATTCTACTTTAATTAATTAAATGCTATCATAATTTATTAAATATAGGTTGATATTAAGTAAATATATCTTTATTTTCACAATAAAAAGAATTAAAAAAGATGTCGTTTTGGTTCTTTTATATCCTTTATTTTCTGCGAGATGAAAGCTGAAAATAAAAATGGATATAAAATGTTGTAAGGAATTTGTGTCATTTTTTATATATTTTTGTGTGTACTTTTACATTTCTCGCGAAGATTAATTAACTTTTTGATCACTAAAAATAATTATAAAAAATTTTTTTGTTATTTATAGAGTAGAATTATAATAATAAACTTGTTTATTTTGAAGATAAATTGCTTAAAATTATTAAAGATTTTTGTAAATTAATTTAGGTATATACAGGGTGGGGCAAAAGTTCGGCGACAAATTCTATTCTGTCCTTTCTTAAAATTTACTTTATATTTTGCTTTTTGTTTAGATTTTCCATATTCTATGATTCGTGCTCTACACATTTTATCTTGGAAATTTTTTCCTATCTCATAAAGTAAAAATTTTACAGAATGTTAAAGAATCGTGCTTTTGTTATTTCTTTGTATACAGGGTGGTTAAAATTATTAAAGATTTTTGTAAATTAATTTAGGTATATATGTATATTAGAGACTAGAATTTGGCGGGATCAGGATTTCGGTCGGTATCGGGCGGGATTATTCCGGGTTTTTGAATCATTATTCCAAAATCCCGATTTTACTTCGGGATCCCAATCCAGCCCAACTCTATTAGAGACTGGATTGATACGAGCTTTCTGGAGTTTTCGAGATTTCCAAAAGCGAAATTGATAATTTTTGATTTACTTTATTCTATACCCCGTTGGCTCCTTAAACAAAAATTTTGTAAATTTCTATGCATTATAGATATTAAAATTTCAGTTATAGAGAAGGGAAAGGTGATGTAAATATGAATGGAATTAAGTTAAATTTTAGAAAAAATTTTGCAAATTTTTAGACAGATAAAACCGAGATTTGGTCAACATTTAAATTATAATTTACACTTATTCTTAGAAATTAAAAAAATTTAGTAAAAAAGTGTATTTGCGTGTAATAAATTAAAGTAATATGTATGTTTAAATAAACCTTTAAAGTGTGTGAACCAGGGAATGAGCCGTCCAGGGCGTGACCGGTCAATCCGTCAGTGGACATTCCGGCAGTGGAAAATCCGTTAGTGGACAATCCGTCAGTGGTCGGACAATCGGTCAGTGGACAATCCGTCAGTGAGCAAATTCATAATTCCTACCCATACCCAAACTATCGCCGCAAAAATTTTCATTTAATCATGTGGGGATTATAAGTGATATCGAAAATATGGAGATTAATGAGGAAATCGGCAGAATTAGCTGGATTAAAAGCAATCCAATGGGAAATGTGGTTGAATTACGCGAATGTCGATGGCTTTAGAAGGATACCGGGGATTTGGATGGATTAGATTTACGTGATTAACGTGTGGCATTATTGTGAGACTGGGTAAATATTGTGTGATCATGGAACTCGATGAATAAGAGAGATTGTTTTAGATGGATATCATGGAACAACCCTCTTAACCCGCCTATATCCGTTGATATCCCCTTTTATCCACGAAATCCATCTTAATCCCCCAATCTATTAACCACCATAATACGACAAATCTTTTATACGCCTTAATCCCACAATATCTTTGAAGTCCCCGATGACTTCCAAATCCACAGATATGCTTTTAATCCAGATAAATCTGCCAATTTCCTCATTAATCTCCATATTTTCGTTATCTCTTATAATCTCTCACATAAAAAAAATGAAAATTTTTGGCAGCGGTATTTTGGGTATGGGTGGGAATTACGAATTTGTTCACTGACGGATTATCCACTGACCGATTGTCCGACCAATGACGCATTGTCCACTGACGGATTTTCCACTGCCGGATTGTCTACTGACGGATTGTCCGGGAGCCGTCCAGGGTATGAGCCGCCGTTAAGTTTTTTTGTTGGCTCGTTCCCTGGTGTGAATACGAATTTTGTTAAAATTATTATGCGAATTTTTAAAGTACAATTTTAAAGTCACGCAATATTTATTTAATTTTTTTCTATTTAAAACGTTGAAAAAATTAAATTTATGTACCTTAAAATTTAGTTCCAACATAATTATTCCATCAAAATGGACAATAAAAGTTTCTATAGCGTTAGTTTTTAATTATTATTTTTATAAAAAATCCCAAATTAATTTAAGCCATTTTATTCAAAATACAATGAAGCAGGATTCGTTCCTGAACTATTTTTTATTGCTTTAACTACTACACTTTTTTCTTTCTTTATAATACTATCAAATTTTAGCCTTTGCTATATTTTTATTAAATATAGGTAAATATTTTTAAATTTTTGCCTTGCGTTTTACGTAATTTTTGACGAAAATAACGCAAAAAATGCAAAAATATATCTAAACTGAGGTCAAGAAAAGAAGATATTTGGCTTCTTAATCTACTGAAATTTTCAAAATTTCATCTGCGGTGTTAGAAGGAGGAGGCCATTATCCAAATATCAATATTAGGCTCTGTTCTGGAGCCCCTTAAGCTCAGTTCTGGAGCCCAAATTCTCAGGTATCCCTCCTTATTCTCTGATATTTTAAGTATCATCTCAAATTCATTAATATCTCCTTAATCCTCAAATATCTCTTGCAAATCCAAGGATATCTAGAGATCGGCCTGGGTCTGGACCAAGGCCTGGGTTTTTTTTTTACCCAGAGTCCAGGCCCAGGCATTTTTTGACCTTCCTGGGTTTTTCCTGGACTACAGGCCCAGGATCCGGCCCAGGTCAATAAACCAAACCCAGATTCAATTTATCACTTCCAATCACTTTTATCACATGGTTGATACGGCATTCAGCATTCGCTTAATCTTCTTAAAGCACCGTATACGAATCATTGAGAAATTCAGAAGTTGAGATACCTATTTAATAAATTAAATTTAAGGAAAAAATATGTTACACTAGGAAGCAATACGAGTACATTACTGTTTATTTATGCTTCTATTGAAATTTTATCTTACATAATTCGACTAATTTATTTTGTAAGAGTATCTATTGGCCTAAATTTCCTTCCAATTTGGTTTGCAAAATTTTATGTTGTATGTATGGAAATAACATATCGTTCGACTCATTTTATGTATATACTAATAAGTTTTGATCGTTTATTTGCTATATCTTTTCCCATATTGTAAGTTTAACTAAAAATTAAATATGGCTTGTGATAAAATGCATGTCGAGGATTATACAAAGTATATCTCTAAATTTAAAATATTTATATTTTCTTATAAACATCCAAGATACCTATGTTGATAAGTTAAAATACCTAAATCAGATATCAAACCATATTACTGACATATTTATAAGGAACAATAACAGTTTAATAGGTATGTGAATTGAATGTTAATAAGCTCTGAGGGTTGGGATTATCTTTCGTATAGCCCTTGGATAGTCTTTAGGCACCTTAAATTACCCTTAACTAAAAATTTAGCACCTTAATTAGTATTAGAATATTTTATTAAATATATTTTTCAGTTATAAAAATTTAAACAAAAAATTGTACATTATGGGACATTTAACAACATTAATTATTTTTGATATAGCAATCTTTTTAATTTTTATTATGCCAATATTTGAATATGAAAATGTATTATTGACTGGAAGCCCATCAGAAAATTTATTATTTCTTTCTTCGATTAATCCGGAAGCTTCTTCTATTTCCTTAATAATTTTTGTTATATCTGTAATAATTTATTTAATTATTGGAATCATAACTAAATACAAATCAGGTTGCTATTTTTAAAACTTTTAGGCACCTTAAATTAACCTCCGATATAGCAGGCGAAAATTCTGAGAGTTTTGGAAGGACAAGAAGCCAGATTTCTTCCTTTTTCAGTGTCGCAGGCGTAAATTTTGGAAACTTAGACAAAATCTCTGACAGAAATATGCTCCAAAAATTATCGTAAATCGGAAATTTTTCCAAAATTAGGAGGAAATAAGTCAGAAATTGGAATTCTGACTGACCTCTGAACTTTTTTTTACATTCACTTTTTATTTTGCAATTTTATAAAGCAATATTTATTTGCCTGACAAAACCGTCCCGAACAAATTTTGGAATTTTCGGTACTAATTCGGTATCGGGAATTTTCGGTACTCCCGGTACCGGAACCGTCCCGAAGAAGATTCCAGTACCGCGGTACTCCCGAATTTTCGGTACTGGGAAATTTGACGAAAAAATGAGAAATATTGCTAGTAAAACTAATAAATATTGCAAAAAATTTCAAAACTTCCCCTTCAAATCTTCTCCCATCCCTAAAAATATCATTTTATCCCCGATTTAAGTGTTGGCGGATTTAAGGGTTGAACTCTTGACCTAAACCTTGAAGACCTACACACTGAAGAACTAGTTTAATCAGGTGATCTGGAGGAAATAAAGGTGAT